GATACCTTCCGTAATAATCTCTTAAGAGATATTTAATACAGAAAAAAAGACTTTGAATGTTAGAATGCATTTATCAACTACTGGTTACATGTATAGGTGCAACATCATCATTTACTCCAGGAAAATCTGTTTAATGGCACTTTTCCTGCCAAAACGCAGAATTCTTATCTCTTTAATGGTGCTTCCATTGAATAGTCTTAAAGAATTTTTTTCAATTAATTGCACTTGAGAGATTAAAAGACAGCAATCGATGATCTTGTATGTTGTCCCTGGTAAAGATTAGGACACAAAATTTAGTGTGAACATAGAAATCACCACTGTAAGTTCAAAGATTGTACAGTTGGCATTATATTGCTGTTCTGAAGTGCAATACAAACCAATCAGAATTAAATCAAATATGATTATGACATATATTAATGTCTGTGAACAGATAGACTTGATTACTAAACCCTTCATAAGGATAGTGAAAATTTTACCCCAGGGTCATTTAACTGAAACCCCAAACAAATATGCATGTTACTTAACTTATTAAACATGAAGATAATTTCATAAAATTGGGATCACAACTTAATCAAAAAGATGACTTACCAGAGGGCGGAACACACATCTTTGAGGGAGCAGTTCTCCATTCCACCTTTTATCTGGGTCTTCAAGACTGGACTTGTTTCTGATGGCAAGTTTGGGCATGTAGCTTCAGGTTTAAATAAAATCAATGTTATAAATATTATTGAATAAATAAAGCGCACACTTAGCTTAATTTTTTTTTTTTACAATTAGACCCCAAATAAAAAGAAAATACTAAAATATATGAATAAAAATGTGCATAAATGTGTCATTTATAATTATAGCTCCATACTACCATTGTTAAATTTGTCAAGAAAAGATAAGACACATTTTGTTCAAATTTCCATAACAATTGCAGTAGATGTCCCTCTGTCCATTGTGTCTGGTTGTGACAATGTAGTGACCTCATTGCTGGGCACATTTGCAGAGCCCACACCACTACCAACTGAAGCTGGAAGTGATGTATTGCAATCAGCCTCCCTCAACACACAAATCATCTCTCCAACTCCGCTGACACAGCAGGACCAGGGCTGTATTCTGAGAAATGCTGTTGGCAGCTGCCTAAGGCCTGCAATACAAGCAGTGACATCTACTGACTGCATGGGCGCTCATCTATAGATGTTGGAAAATTAAGAAAAAGAATCCTTATGGGCTTAATTGGAAAAAGTACATTTCTAATAATTATATATAATTTATATAAAGAATAAAAATAATTATGTTAAAGAATATCTGCTGAGCACCTAGCCCCTATTCTTCCAAGTCAACCACATCACATTTTCCTTAAGAAAATAGCAATTTTCTCTTTCTCATGCATCACTGTTTGATTCTCCCTTGGATTTGGTGTTTTATTTTTATTTTCTAATTTGATGGATATAAAAACTTTAAAGGAACACTCCATGGGAAATGAATTTTCTCAGGGTAAAGAGGAATAAAATTTTTCACCTACACTCAAATTATTGCCTGACCTGGCTCTGCACTTGGATTCGATGTTTTATTCCAATTTTATTTTAATATTTAAGTTTTAAATGACTGGACAGTCACAACTGTCTCATTTTCATAAAAAAAGGGGGGGGGGTATCATGGCCCTGTGCAATGCATAATACACATGTTGCAAGCCGACAATGACTACCTGAGGATAAGAAGATTATAACGACACAAAAACACTTCAGATTAATTCTTTAAAGGGTTTCATTATCTTAAGAGTCTCAATTGGGAAATGTAACAGCCTTACAGGACATGAATATGACGGTGGGGCGGGGTTCAAAGCCTTGAGAGAAATTCATTTTGGGCGGGCAAATCCCATGGAGTGGCACAATAAGTAAAAAAAAAAAAATGCAAATTACGTGGATCATATAGCAGGGAGTAAAATCTTCCTTGGCTGAAAGACCCCAAACTTAGTGTCATCAAAATTCCCTGTCAGCATCACTGAGTACTGTACATGTAATCTCAGCACGTGACTGAAGAAACCAGAACGTTACCGATAACGAAAAATTTAGTAGCGTCAAAATAAACGAATAAATAAAAATGCGATATCTGTCATATCTAACTTTTAAATGAATAATTACATTCTAAAAACTACTCTGACAAATCCATACATATGTTTATACGATAAAATATGAAAGCCCTGGGCAATTTTATTCTTATATTCCTTACCACCATATATTTACTTACTTACTTTAAAATAGTTTAGGAATTAGTTTAATGGTCCTAGATAAACACCTTTTCTTTTTCACAAAGGATCACTGACATACACTCCCAGAAGATTTTTGTGTCCTAAAACATGCGTCTGTAACTCATGAAAGGTTGGAAACAATGACATGCATTGGAAAATACTTTTTGTCGTTACTGTGTTGATTGCGCCAGGTGTGCGTCAATCAAGTCACATGCTTGTCATGTGACCAAAAATATGGCAGCCCCCATGTTTTATGGAAACATGACTATATTTCATTTATATTATTAGTTTTTTATTGTTTGCACAGAAGAAAATTTCTTGATGATGGCGTCTGCAAAAGTAGAAGATCAGAACAATACAGCTGATAAACTGAATCAAGCAAAGTCATTCAAAAATGAAGGCAATGAACAGTACAAGAAGAAAAATTACAAAAACGCCATTCGTAATTATCACAAAGCGTTGCTGTATCTGAAAGGTGTTGGGGCAAGTAATCCATTTTCGCAGCTAACGGGAGAGCAAGAACCTATTTTACCTCCAGAGGTACAGGAAGAAGTGACGAAGCTGAAAAGTGATTGTTACAATAATTTGGCCGGTAGGTCTCTCTCTCTCTCTCTCTCTCTCTCTCTCAAGCACTCACACCAATTTCAGTTCAATTATATGTGTCCCGCCGAAACATCCTGTCAGAATAATAGTGGATACTCAGTATATTTCAGATGTGTATTGTACTGATAACTGCCAAATAAAATGACACTGAAATGAATACTTGAACTTTAAATAAAATTTTGAGAAACACCATGGCTTGTACAGTATGACTGAGTGTACTGGTAAGATATGTAAACCATTGTCATAACACCCCTCATTTTTTACAACCCCATTAAGACTTTATCTAGATTTATTTATATGTTTTGAAACAGAGCTTTTGCTGAACAAAGTCTAAATTTGCTTTTCATTCTTGTTATTGTTAATCACCATACAGCACTTATTTTGGCAGATATAGCTACATGTATTTTGGCACATGATCTGCATTAATATATTATTTCCACTGTATTGTGTGTGTGTCTGTGTGTGTGTGTGTGTGTGTGTGTGTGTGTGTGTGTGTGTGTGTATGTGAGTGTGTAATTAAACATTTTCAGAAACAACAATAGAAATTTTATATGGAATCAAAATATTGAACCACAGTTGCTTAATATATATGATAAATAAAATACCCTTTTCCAGCCTGTCTTCTTCTGCAACCTGAGCCAAACTTTCAGAAAGTTGTGGAATATTGCAGTAGTGTTCTTGAGGCCAGTCCACACAATGTGAAGGCTCTGTACAGACAAGGCACTGCCTACTTTCATCTGAAGAACTTTGACAGTGCCATGCAGGCCCTCTCCAGAGCTTGCTCCTTGCCAGGAGGAGACACAGGTTGGAATAGTTCACCTGATATCTACAATACCATCACATACTACATACACTCATTTATCACAATGTTTTGTTTTAAGTTTATTAATTAATTAATTTATCCATTCATTTATTTATTTTTCAGAAGGATATGAGATGTTGTTTAATCATTTCCAGTTTCACCATTTACTTCATTACTAAATTTGAGATTGCAAAATTCTGATGTATAAAAACAAATTAGATTGTAGATTGCAGAATTCATATTAAAACTCTGCCTGTTCTGTTATTGGCAAAAGATTTAAGTCATAATGCTTCCATATTAGTGATAATGATGGTAAAAGAACTAATAGAAATAATTGTAATAATAGTAATAGTAAGTTAAGTGGGCAAAAATGTTCATTAGCTTGATAGTTGGGTCATAAATGAAAATCATCAAACACCTGCCGAAATACTTTCATACCCTTAGCTTACGGCCAACCTGGACATGTATACCACCTAGCGATCAGTAGCTGACATCAATCTGATGAAGGTCTATGTCTAGGTTGGCGGTAAGCTATTGTATGAAAGTTTTTTGGTTTGTGTTTGATAATATGTAAGTAAAGTGGTTTACCTCAACCGTAGCCTTTTCAAACTTTATTTATGTTTGTAGCATTCAAGTCAGATTAATGGTTACAATGTGTCCAAATTTTCTAGATCAAAATTTGTATTCCAGTCAGCCTGGGGTTAATGTGATATGCTTAATATTTTTCAGATACAAAAATCAGGCATCAGTTACAGCTATGTGAGAGAGAAATTGCAAAACAGGACCAGAAAATGAAACAGGTGTACAAGGGCATGTTTGACAAGATGGCGTCAGATACCAAAGACGTAACTTGATGTGTTTGGAGGAGCATTTACCCCAAGGAGCTCAATTTCTTAAGATGACTTTAATTTTTTGTTGGGACATGAAGGTTTTACTGTTATTCTGTCTGTTCCAAACTTTCAGAAAAACAAAGGAAGTATTGGAGTAGTTAGGGTTCTCAAGATTCTGTGCAGGCGCACAAACATGCATATCGTTAAACCAAAATACACATGCATTGTGGCATGCAGATAGGTTATTTAAAAGATGGCAGTCATAACTGCGTTAAACAACTCTTGGAGCTGAATTTAATGGCATTTTTCATTAATGTCCAAGATAGATGCATCCTTGTGGTTCTTTTCAGTGAATGGGATGTAATGTCTCCCCTATTTTTTTTTCATTATTTTTGGAAAAGGATAAATATTCAACATTTATGTTTCACAGCAATTTATTTCTTTGATTTTTGTATGATTCCAACCAGCGTCTCTCCAGCTACAGGGGGTATGTTTATCCTTTCTAACCATTACAGTTTAATTGCCATGCCAAGCAGAACTGATATCTCACTGTCGGTTTAAATATATCACATGCTTTCTTAATGGCAGCATCTCTCATGTATGTAGTTATACAATGAATTGGGGTGCTACTTGAAACCCGTTCAGTGTTTTATTAACGTTTCATATCTTGGAAATGCTAAAAAAAAAATTCAGTTACCACTTTACGATTTACAAGTATTGAAACTGCTGTCCCTAACTCATCACAGCAGAGTGACTTAACAGTTAATTTCAATTTCTTCAGTTTTTCATATGCCTCAAAGAAAACAACATATTATACTAAAACTGTGAGTTAGTTTATTCAGGTTTTTGTGTTGAATGTCAGTGACATTTTGATAATTTTTTACTTCAAGTTGAAGGTTGTTATATAGTTGACTGTTATTTCAAATAGTTGTACGTATCTGTTAAGTCTCATAGTATACCGTATCTTAGTATCTATATATAGGTCAGACCTTAAGTACCTTTATAGAAACTTTTCCTGTAATTGCTTCTGTTTGGAAAATATTAAACATAATTTTCAAAAGTTTCATACAGTACTACGTCATTTGGTGGACTTTTAGGAAAACATTTTATCTAGCGAGGTCCTGCAATATTTTCTGTTCATTGCTTTTTCTGTTGTCAAAATTAAATTTTGTATTTCTTAATCATTCTTATCCATTTAAATTATTATTTTAACATCAAAGACATTAAAAATTATTTTTAACCAGATGTAATTGATGTATTTCTCATGCCCAGAATGTGCAATCTATTGGACTGAGCACTATTTTAAATGAAAAGACATCATTTTATTCTGCAGTTTTTATTACATAAAAATTACAAGTTCCAGAGACTACCACAGAACTGGTAAACAAAACTGGCAAATACACAGACTCTAAACAGCCAAAAATATGCAACAAATTAAAAAAACATTTAATTTCTTATTAACAAATCTTATTAGCAAGATAAATGGGAAATTTTCACCTTGCCAACAGGTGTGGCATTCCCAAGATTCAATGGCTGTGTCTGTACATAAGAGTGAAAACATACAATCATATTAAAACACACACATATATATGTAATAGATTACTTTATTATATATATATGTATATATATATATGCTTGATCCCGTCTTTGATCTGATTATGTCTAAGGCTGTAAATTGAGAAAAAGCACTACAATGAAGCCGAGATACAAAACATTTGTACCATATTACTACTGTTACATATATAGCCACGTACCATACACTAAAGAATGCTCATGTGACATCAAACATTATTAAAGTATTAAATAGCTTGGCTCAGAGCTCACTATGCCAAGGAGTCTTGGACTGTAATACTTTTAAAAAGTGATAAATATTTACAATGTAGAATACAAACATAATTCATGAACAAGTATAGTAGTCTAAAAGGTTAAGATAAGATTTGTATCCCAATTAAGAAGGAAAAAGGGATTAAAATGATTTGGAAATGTGAACTTTATTGTACATAAGAGTGAAAACACAAATATATCCTATATATAATAGATTCCTGAATGTATATTTACATTTGAATATTTGTTCAAGATATTTTGATCTGTCTTGGATCTGATTATGCACTTCAATGAAAAAGCACTACAATGAAGCTTAGATACAAAACATTTGTACCATGTTACATATATAGTCACATACTGTTTCCTTACACTAAAGAATGCTCAAGTGGCATCAAACATAATTAAAGTACTAAATAGCTTGGCTCAGAGTTCACCATGCAAAAAGGGTCTTGGACTGTAACACTTTAAAAAAGTGATTCATATTTACAATGTTGAATAGAAACATGCTTCATGAACAAGTATATATAGTAGGCTTTAAGGTAAGGATAAGAGTTGTCTCCCAAGGCCTGCTCCCCACTTAACACCAATGGCAACTCAAAATTATTTCACCTGAAGAAGGTGTTGTTATAAGGTCTAAGCTTTTGAATGCAAGATCCAGAATTAAATATTTTTTCATTATCTTAGTATGATATAACTGGATGAATAAAAACTTTCACTGTGAAGTTAACAAGGTCTATTCTATTAAAATTAATTTTTCCATTATCTTAGTATAATGTAAATAGATCAATCAAAACTTTTTAACATAATTATCAATTTTGAACTAGGGGATCTGATAGGTGATGCTGCCTCCTGGTGTTGTATTAAAGAAATGGTGCAAAGCAGGGTTTAACATAGTTAAGGCTTGAAAAAAAGCCAGATAATAATAGCTAGTGAAGAAAAAATTATGGTATAACGAAAGGAAAAATGGGGAAAAATGCTAGTACATTATCCCATACTTCCACCAATACAAATGCAATAACATATATTTCTGGGTGTTTGAAAAATTTTTGCAAATAACCAAAAATGGGAGGGTAGGGGGGGGGGTGCACAATTTATAAAGAAAAGAAGAGGGTAGGGGATTCTTTTCAACAGTTAAGTGCATTCAGTGGTACTTAAAAAGAGATATACAAGACTGTTAGTATGAGTAAAAGCAAAGGTTTGAGTGGAGACAAATATTAAGAAATTTCAGTTAGGCTGTGAAATAAAGATGAAATGAAGACCCGAGGTAGTAAGCACATATAAGATTAAAGGATGTATGGATGTATGTGTGTTAGCTGGACTAAAACTACGTGTACGGCCAGCGCCTACTGACTCAGGTTTACACCATAGTTATTCACAAAGCATGTTTCAATGTACTTCAAGTTTCAATACGCCTCTCTTTCTTCTTTTTCCTCCTCTTCTTCCTATACATTATCACTGGAAGTAGGGGACTAAAAAGGAAAAAAAAAATTGTGTCTAAGAAATTAACAAAAAATTAAGTAGACAAATGAGCAGGACTTTTTTGTGTTTCCATCCTCTATTCTTTCCTGTAGCATTTGGGTTTTAGCACCATAATACCAACTTTTTTATGCAGACAACATGTAGAACAAGACAATTTTGTAAATCTAAAGAATATTTGCCAAAAATCTTGACAACCAATTTATTCAAAATATTTTTCAAACATGATATGCAAACATACATCTTCATAATAAAGAAAGAGGGAGGTGGAAAAGCAAAAAGAAAAGAGAGAAGAGGAATAGAAGCTTAGGACAATATCTTAGCAAATAATTTAAAATGTATGATATTTCAGATAGCCTTATCAACTTACTGCTTTCCCTAAACATCTCCAAGGATAGCTAACCAAAAGCGCAACTGCAATGACAATGACAACAGCAACAGGCCCCAAAATCCCTATCCAATTTCTGTTTGGTGGCAAAAATGAACCTGATAAAAAAGTATTCAAACAAGCAGTCATAACAGAGCCTTTTGTCTTATGAATACAGAAGCATTATCAATTAAAATCAAACAGTTAAGAAATAATCACATTATACTAATTCATAAGCAAAACTATCGGTCATACACGAGAAATAATGATTTAACAAAACAGCAAAGCTGTCAAATGTTCAGACATATTAAAGCAAAAAATACTGCTGACAGAAGTGAGTACACAAAATGTTTTTTTTTTTTTTATTATAATGCACTATAACATGTTTAACAGTTTAATCACTGATTTCTCATAACTGAGTATGTTCTAGAGGTAACGTTGATATCCAGAAAATATAAATAGCACAGGGTTCCAGCCCAATAGGATTTTAAAATAATGCCAAATGGGAACTAGGCAGCAAAGCTGACAAATATACAGACACCATATAGGAAACAAGGCAGCAAAGCTGACAAATGTTAAGACATTACACAAAAAAAGGTGCACCACATAATGTTTTAGCCAATTTTGATGCACTGTAATATAATGATTTAAAACAGCATATAACCACTCCTACATTATGTACTACAGGTAACATGGACATTGAAAAATTAGGGTTATAAAAGCCACAGAAAATGCTAGTGAGTGAAAAATGGAAAAATTCACCAAAAAAATAAATAAATAAATAAATAAATAAAATAATAATAATAAATAAATAAATAATAAATAAAGCAACCTACCTCTTCACCAAACAAAGCCACTCAGTAAATTTAAGGTAAAACCAAAATATGGTTTGAAAGTTATGGGGCAAACATCACCAAAATTGTGAAAAAAAATTATTTATTACTGTACAACCGATCATGCCAACTGAAAACCGATCATGCCAATTTTTAAAGTAATCTGCCTTTTTACCAAAAATCTTGTTTCTCAAAATGTTTCGAACTATTTGTTACTGTTTGAGTACATATTTGTGGTGCTGGGTCAGTACCTACCCCAGTCATCATCAGCAGGAAATGAGGGAATGTCTTGGAAGGAGCTACTGAACTTTGCTGAAAAAAAATGTTAAAATTACACATCTTGATAATTAAATCCATAAATTGGTTGGCAATAACTATCATAAATTCATAGTAAATATAAATGTAATGATGGCACTTAATCAGGTCCAATGTTCTGATCAAGGAAGAGACAAGAACGACATGTCTGAGTTCAACAAAAATACATTATGAAGTGGCAGGTTTATGTATACATTTACTATAAGCACCCGGAGCAAGCCTTGTACAAAATAAGTATACAATGTTACAGTTAAGATGATTTAACATTTGATTAAGGAGAATTATCAAGTGTACTCAGCTGATCTTGTGATGACCTTAAATCAATCCATTACGAGAACAGTAAGGTATATCTTAATGACATCTTAAATTGCAGTATTCAGGTTTGTATAAACAAATACTTACACTTACCATTAAGAACTTTCAATTCCAAAGAAATGTTCACTGGGAACTCATCTGGAGGTGTCACCCGGAATGTGTATGTTCCACTATCTTCTGGTCTTATGTTTCTTATTCTGATGTTTACGTTGCCATTCTTCGGAATCACAAGGCCCATTCTGTTTTCCAACCCGTTAGTATTATTGGTTAACCATTCTACAGGTTTGTCAGAACTCAGCACATACTGAATTAGACACTCTGAATCCTTGCAGAAATCTACAGGGAGCTTGGGGTGTGGCTTCACTGGTAGACTTACGTTAAAGGTGACGTTGTCTCCACTATGTGCTGTGATAATCTGGACATCTGCTGTAAGAAAATTATAATCTCTATTTACTTGTTGAATATGGTACTCTTAGACCCCAGTCCCAGAGATTAGATCAATCTACTTTAGATTGACCTAACTCCCTGGGGGTTCACACTAAATAGCTGTCAGCCGAGCGGGACGGACATTTAAGCTGGATTATCTGACAGTAATCTAGTGAGACTCCCCACGGAGATAGATCGATCTAAAAGCTCTGGGAATACGCCCTTACTTCCAGATATCTGAATAAGAGTTATGTATATGTATACATTAAGGGCCAAATAAGAGAAGGAAATGTCAATGTTAGCCCAAGTGCAAGACATAAAGTTAGATCTGTAACTCCTGTGCTGAAGTAGCTATATATGACAAGACATAAAGTTAGATCTGTAACTCCTGTGCTGAAGTAGCTATATATGACAAGACATAAAGTTAGATCTGTAACTCCTGTGCTGAAGTAACTATATATGACAATTTGGCCTAGAAAAGACCTCCACCAGTTTTCATTATTAATAATTAACTAATTAATCTGTCAATGGATAAAAAATCTAATTTCTACTTGGTCCCCTCACCACAATTTTTGAAAATTAAATCAAAATCCATCCCCAGGTTGTGGATAATATATAGCTTACTGACAAACAAATGAAACCAAAAACAAATCCTCCTTGATGGAGATAATAAATAAAATATCATGGTAAAGAACTTAATACAGCCATCAAAAGCTTTGGGGGGAAATAATGCATGACACTGTATGAAAAGTTGCAGCAAGAATCTCTTAACACAACTATGTTAAGATTAAAACTTCACCATAAATATCAGTCAACATTATTTCTATTGGTGATAATGTAACCACTCTGCCGTCACCTTGATTATTCTAAATTTGTACTATATTATGGTTTTTATACTAAATAACTGACAGTCTACTGTGTTCGTTCATGACAAACCATGCTCATAAAGAGTTAAAACTTGGACCAATTGCATTATAGTCTTAATATAAAATGTCAACGTCAGTGTAAACTTACCTCTTTTTAATGTTCCTGCCCCCACTAGCAGTATTAAACTTGAGCCAAGTATTAAAATCAGCCATATTTGCTAAGAATAGAGAATAGAAAAGAAGTATATATAAATACTTAAAGCTCTCCTTGTATAAATGAACATGTGAACTACTTCAAATTACAACAGGTAAACTTGTTGCATATACTGTATGTGTTATGGACTTTTCCATGTTTATCTCCCTCTTTTTTGTTTGTGTACTTATTTATTATTAATAGTCTATCAAACTTATTATTAGTATCATAACTTGTTTTACTACTACTGAGTGATCTATAGCCTTATATCTAACGATATATTATTGTACAGCTATCTGTGAGAGTCAAGATCAACTCATTCATTTGCACTCGCTTTTAAAAATATTATTATTAAAATAAATACAACTTTAAAATAATGATTCAGCAAAATTCATTTAATCATGGGAGATAAACTTGGCACTTGTAACCCTCTTAGTCACAGTAAATGTATACATAAACCTGCCACTCTCGAAAAAAAAATGGTTAACAATTATTATTTTTTTTTCTGAATTATGTAATGATTTTAGATGTCTCGGCTATTTCAATAGAAGAAGGGTGGGGGGTTCAACAAAACAGCATCTGATATAGCCCGACTACTTAACCATTATGACCCATTAAGCTTAAAAAAATACCAATCCACGATTTTTCATTCATTGTGGAAAATATTACTAAAATCTACAATCATGTCAAAGGGGAAATTTTTAAAAAATACACTGACACTCACCATTGTTTGACTTCCGTCTTCAATTACGCAACATAACGCAATAACTGCGCGTGCGCGAAAAAAAGAAAAAAAATATCTGCCTGCTGTGTGTTAATGTTTAATTTGATTTAATATGATTTCTGGTGTCGTTATGAGAAAGTATATTGGAAGTGTACTGTTGATGTCATGTATGGAAAGATTAAACCATTTGTCTTTGTTTAGAATAACATTTATTTTGCCTTTATGTAAGGGAATTCCCTTTGTATTTAGAGCGTTGATTGATTATGAAATGCGACATACGTATCCGTTTATATAGCCATTTATATCATCATTATGATAATCTATATTTATTTATTTGTGCTATGTTATAGTTAGCTGTGCTGTCATTGATTGTACCTTATATGTGAAAGTGTTTATCCTAGTGTTATATGTGGCCCCTGGACCCCGGGCCCGGGGGGGGGGGGGGGCACCACTGCACCCCCACTCTAAATAAATAAAATGCTCCATGTGGCAGATTGAAAATGATATTGCAAAATACATTAAAATCGTAGGAAGGTTAATTGTAGCAATGCTGCGAGGATATTCTGATGCCAATTAAGGCAAAATGGGCCAATATAAATATTTTTAAAAACTTCCTCCGTCGTGTTTGGAGCGCCAGTTCTAATTTTTTTAAAGCGAGGCAATGGAACTAAACAATTAATAATCTCGAAAAAAACGATAATTTTTAATAAAGATTATAGCATGGCATACATCAAAAGATGTCTTGTTTATTATCTGAACCTTTAATATATATTATAATACAGGGTTACCACTTAATATGGAATATTTGGCGAGTAAATTTTCTACAAAATATTTAATTCCTCTCTAACTACTTTAAATCCAAAGCTGAGGTGTCACTCCATGTGTAGCCAGGTGTGTTACCTAATTACCACACAACTCTCGAAACAATTGATGCATGCAGCTGCATGTTTTGTGGTCAGATATGGGAGGGGCACCCTGAGCTTCAGAGATAACTTGACACTAACCTCTTCACTATAGCCTATCTTCATCGTGTCAAGTTACGATGAAGATACAGGCTATAATGAAGAGGTTAGTGTCAAGTTATCTCTGAAGCTCAGGGTGGGGAGGGGTGGTCTTTTCGACAATTTCTGCCCTTGTATAAAAACGCATGGGTTTGATCAATCTTTGGAGTGTGTTTAGAGAAGCAACAAAGGGATCGCTCTGAAACTTGACAGATACCTTAGTGAAGATAAGGTTCGACAGCTAAGCAACGCAGCTTACTATGGGATTCTTGCTCTCAGAGAAAATGGCCAGAAACGGACAGCCATTTCCAGGTAATTCAACATTTATCAGGAACCGTTTGTAAAGTCCTCCAAAGAAAAGCTGCAACAGGGGCACCTACTCCAATACCTCGACCAGGGTGTCCGCGTGTCACACCAAGAAGACAGGATCGCCCTCTCCTTAGAGAACGCCGTGCTGGTCGTACAAAGACAACCAGTGTCCTCAGAAAAGAGAGGCAGAATGTCATTCAAACGCTCGTTCCAAGGTCCCTCGTGAACAAGAGATTACTGCAAGCCGGTTATTTTGCACGAAGACCAGTAGGGAAACCACTGTTAACAGCGGGTCATATACAGCGACGTCTGCAATGGGCTGGGGACCACGTGCGTTTGCAGCCAAAACACTGGAATCACGTCGTTTTCAGTGATGAGGCCAGATATGGATTTTTTACGGTTGATGGTCGAATCCGAGTCCACCGACGTGTACGAGGGGCATAAAACGATGATTGTGTACTGCCTAGGGTGCAAGCAGGGGATGGTAACGTCTCAGTTTTGGGAGCATTTCAGGTCGGTGCCCAGAACCAGTTGGTTTTTCGAGGAGGCAACCTCATCCAGGATTCCTACAGAGGCATTCTACAGCAAACAATGCGTCGATTGGTAAGAGTCATCTCCAGGAACAACTTTGTGTACCAAGACGACTGGGCAACCCCACAACGAGGCCGCAGAATCACTGTTTTTCTTCAAAACCAATGGGTTCAGCAACTGCCCTGGCCTGCAAACTCTCCAGATATGAACCCAATTGAAAAACTTTGGGCAAAAGTAACTCACAGAATTATTAGCTATGGTCATCGGCCGGTAAATAGTGATGAACTGCGACAGGCAAATATCACTGCGTGGAATGATATCCCCATCCAAACTCTAAAAAACGTGTCACAGGGTATGCCATGTAGGATGAGGGCGCTGCAAGCGGCTGCTGGAAATCATACCCGCAATTACTGATTTTTCATGATTTACTGTAGTGAGTTCTTTGACTGTGTAACATATCACTGTCCGGAGGCTATCATTTTGTTTAATATCTTAGCTTAAAGTTAATACTGACATCAAACTGTTCATATGGTTTTCTGGGGGTGTTCCTTTCTTTTGAATGGCATCTTATGTCAGATTTGGTATTATTGACCAAAATATCTCACAACAGGAGACTGGATGATTTTATCACTCAGTGACATACTTTTTTAATGATTCAAGCCAAAATAAAATTAAAGTCATAATAACTCTTCGTTTTGGCCAAAAATTGGATTTTCCTGGAAAAAACGGCAATTTTCCCGTACTTACCAATGGCCAACGACCCCATTCCTGCATTCAAAGTTAATCCAGGGTTTTTTTCCTAAACGTACGGTTTTTTGTTAAAATCTCTTAAGAGATTTTAACTGACGGAGCTCTCTCTGACATTGCAAAGTCACTGGTGACCTACTTAAAACCGCGGGAAAAGCAGACAACAACAACACTATATAAGATTCATGAGATATATTCGTCTTTTTGTTAAAAATGCATTTATATCCACAATGTGTGTCATTCTGGGCTTTTTGTTATCCGACGCACTGTACAAAAACTCGCAACTTACGTCTGCGTCTGCACTAATGCGTTTGGCGCCATGTTATTTTGGTCTCGAATGAACGCGAGAATCCGCGTGACACCATTACGTCATTAGCAACTAATGCACTTGTCGACCGGAAAAAAGGCATCGTAAGCCCTACTGACAAGCACAGATTTTAGTTTTCCTACAATAACGGCCGTTTTAGTGGTAAAATACAATAGAATATATTTCCATGCGTTTTTTACAATGTATTTCATGCGGATTTTTGAATCTCAAAGGAAGAGTTATTATTGCTTTAATCAGCACTCAAAAATAACAATGATAAAAAAATATTCCATATTAAGTAGCAACCCTGTATGTAATAAGTTAATAAACCGTAGATCTAAGTTAATAAGCTTAATTGATATTTATTTTAGAATTTGGAGGAAAAAAAAACAGAGTTGGCTGTTTTGTTCGTGTACTAATAAGCAAAAAGTATCAATTTAAAGAGATTACAAATTGTATCATGGTATTATCAGCATGCACCTGTCACTTTGATAAGTAAGATGTTTCTTTCCTGTATGTTATAGCCTACCATTTTGTAATTATGTGGAACTTTTTTTTTTTACAAGGATCAGTCTTATGTTCTCTTGCTGGTGGTTAAATATGAACTTTACACGATTTTTATTTTTATCTGTTTTCCAGCAGGTTTATTGGAACCACCAGTTGTTTTGGTAAACTTTTACAATCTGCTTGGCTTCAGGGAATATAATCTTTGATTTGTCAAATGTTATAGCAGATTCTGTCATACATCTGCCACTGAGATATTGTGTATGATGATGAGACGAGATTTCAGTGTCAAGGTTTTCATTTTTTTTCTTTCATACTTATAATCTATTCTGTTAAACATTTAAGATGCACATGTCAAATCATTACCCCCAAACCAATCAAATGCCACCATATAGTATTACTTAGAGAAATACCCAAACATGTCATTTCATATTACCAGAAAAATTATATTAAATTTGAACAGGTTTTTCTGCTTGCTTTCTGTGATTTATATAAATGAAGCAGATAAGTAGGTCAATTAGCAACCAAAATTTTAAGAAGGTGCAGATTAAGCATATCTATGGCTGATCATGTGATTAACTGTTTATCCCTTGGCATGTCAACTTTGAGTCTTATTAGAAAAATGGTAGGTGTTGTCTTTGTTTGTTACTGGGAACCCATACTGCAACAAAGCTCAGTTCAAATGTACCTTTAGTCATTCTTATCTATTTTAATTATAATTTTTATTATAAAAACACCTAAGACATTAAAAATGTCAATTTCAAATTGCTGTAATTCTCATGCTACCTCTTCACCAAACAAAGCCACTCAGTAAATTTAAAGTAATACGAAAATACGGTTTGAATATGCTCTCTAGTGTGCTGTGTACTTTTTTTAAAACTATATTTAAATGAAAAGAAATGTAATTTTATTCTGCAGTTTTTATTACATGAAAGCTACTACAGGTTACAGTGACATTTCTAGAAACTACTTAATGTGTTTAATATGAACTGTTACAAAGTACTGGAAAGCAAGCTGGGAAACATTATATATATATATATAATCTTTGGTAATTAACTCAGAATAAAAGAATTAAAGGCAAAAAAATAAAAATGTTCACTAAAGCAACAGGTATGGTCTGCCTAAAATTTTAAAAAATGTTTTCACTGTTCCGGGCTCTTTCAGTTTTCTGAACAATCATCAATACGCACAATATTATGGAAACATACTTTCACAATATTATCTACTAAATATCAAAACAATAGATTTAAAACTAGGAATATTCCTTATCAGTAAACCATGAGTAAGCCTACATAAAACTTATAAAACATAATGTGAGGACAGATAACCTAAGTAACCTTAAAGGGATAACAACTGTACATTTTGGCTAAAAAATGGATTTTCCTGGGGTAAAAGACAATTTACTGACCAATGGTCAATGAATTCATTCCAACATTCAAAGTTAGTCCCCATTTTTTTTCTAATATTCTAAGAGATTATTACCAAGTGTAGCCATCTATGGAGGTCACATGATGTGATAGCAAGCACAAATTCAAGAATTATTGTGTTAACTGCTGTTTTGGTGGTAAAATAGAATTTATAATATTTCTTTGAATTGTTTACAATGTATTTACTGTGAAACGTGAATTTCATACGAACAGTTGTTATCCCTTAAATTTAATTTAAATATTACAAAGTAAATAAAAACAAAATCACACAGTCAGATTCCATGTGTCTGCACTTAAAAGAGAACAAAGATACAATGTTACTAACACTAAGATACAATATATGTAATTTCAAACTGAATAATATTACATATGAAACTTTGTGTAAGAAATAAAATGTTTATCCTGTCTTTGATGTGACCATTTACAACGCTCACAATTATGTAAAAGCACTAACTACAATGAAGCTTAATGTGCTTGGCACAGTACATAATTTGCCATGTAAAGCCATAGACTGTAACAGATCAAACAGGTTACAAGTGGTGGCATTTGGTTACAATCTTAGTTAATACACAGATCAACAGTGGATAAGCCATATTTGATCTGCAGATCTGTTTGTCTGAATGTGCTCACAGTTTAAGTTCTTCATGGCCAAAATGTGAATAACTCAGTAGTCAACTTGATAAGTAATAAATTCAGGACAAATAATTTCACAAATTTTAAGTAACAATTTAAGTCAACAATTTATACGCAGAATGAAACATTTTAAAAATTGTATTACACAGCTAGATGATCTAAAACTACAACCAAAAAAAAAATAAATAAAAAAAAATAAAATGACAAAAGGCCTCTTCATAAATAATATGCAACAAGCCATTAAAAAAATTATTTGAAAAAAATTAGTGAACAATTTGTTTTTCACTTCTGTTCACAGAAATCCTGTATATGCTTTGGACTTATACAGAACTAATTTTTAAGTTACTATAAATTAAGTATACTTCATGGCCAAATGTTGCACTAGTCCTGTGTATGTTCTTGGTTCTCACACAGGAGTAACATTGGTACACTGAAGAGAAACATGCTTTGTGAACAAGTTTAAATTAACAAGGTCTGTTTTAGGGGGCATTCCAACAGATGTCATTGGTCTGCATAGATCAATAGAACTCTGAGGGAACTTTTGCTGAGTGCAATCAGCTTAACCAAATGACAAGCCTCCTGACATTGAATAGAATAGGAAAAAGCTGGGCCCAGTTTCATTAACCCCATCCACTGAATAAAATTGTTGTCCTCTGGACAGTGATCCTGAGAAAAGCAGCATTTTTAACCACTAGAGACAAAAGTATCTAGTGTTTAGTAAACTGGGCCCTGATGATTATACAAGTCCGATGGAAACAAGAGGAGAGTCACTGCACTCAGTAAGAGTCCCCACAGAGTTGGATGGATCTTCTTGGACTGATGGTGTCTGTGGGAATTAACCCTTAGGATACACGTCAACATCGACAATATTTTTCTGCATAGATAAATTGGTCTCCTTCTGTGAAACAACCTGTATCATTTTGAAATCAAAATCATTCTATAAAAAAAGGTAAATATAGCCAAAGATCCCAATATATTCAACATTTTGTTGTTATTTTCTAACAGGCAAAATCATTTTCCAGAAGCACTGCCAAGGCCAGAACACCTGATAAAATCATGACCATCTTCAGTTCAATAATCCGAGAAGCAGCCTAGCCCTTAACCTTACAGCCACATATGCAGTTTTCTGTGGTATCTTTTTCAGGGCAGCAAGATTAAACAAAGTTAGTTTGTCAGCAGTTCTATAAGAAAATAACCTGCAGCCTGTTGTAAATAACAAAAAAAAATGTATAAATTTTGTGTAACATTTGCAAAAAGTGTTAATTCTTAGTTATCCACAAAGCATGGCTCAGATTCAGTATACAGTAACTTCAGATTTTATTAGACCCATTGTTCTTGCTGATGCCTTCCATTAGTGGCTGAAAAAGAGAAAAATATTTAAGAAATCAACAAAAATAATCACCAGAAAAGCAACTGGAGGATAAGACAGGTGATACCGACTCCAGGTATTGTACCACCAGCTGGAGCAAGTCCATTCGCAGAAAAAAAGGGACACCATCTACAGTGTTGTGCTTGACAAGCTCTACAAAATGCAGTAAAGAAAAGTTCTCAGTATTTTTGTTAAAAATTACCATTTAAAACAAAATCATGGGGAAAACAGTCTGTGCCAAAAACTTTTTAGACTACTTCGGGCTAGCAGACTCTCAAACTTTACTAGCCCGAACCAAAAAAACACTAGCCCAATTTAAATAATTCATTAAAAAAGTTTGTGCAGATGTTGTAAAGAGTTGTGGTACCATACTGAACTTTCTTATAAAATGTATTAAAGAAGTAGAGCAAGTGAATAACAAAGTCAATCAGGTTAATTTCCAGTTGATGGGGTGGTAAAATTAATTAAGAATATATTTAATTCTTTTAATATTGAAACAAGGCAGCAAAGCTGTCAAATGTACAGACAAAAAAACAGGAAATAACTATGCACAAAATAGGCTACAGTCAATTCTGATGCAAAAGTACATTATGTTTAACTGCAAATTCAACATCAAATTTTAATTATGCTCAACAGGTAATATCAATGTAAGTAAAATGTGTAACAAGTTCACACTTTGAAAATGTATAACTTCCAGAAAAAGAAGCCAATTAGACTGCTTTTCCAACTCAGGCTGCATTTTAGTACTGAATTTCTTTTTTGAAAGTTTGGCAATCATAAGTAACATGTTTTTCCCATAATGGTCATCATTGCAGCAGCACCCAAAATTGTGTTTTCTTCTATTCTGATGCCATATTACATAATGGTTAACAGCATAATGACTGTCAATTTTTCAATGGGTTTTCAGAAAATGTGACTAGCATGTGTCTTCAAGCCTGTGGAACTTCAAAGTCACACCTTGAAAATGCCAATATGTGAAAAATTAAATTTTCACAAAAAAACTGTTTAACTAGCAGTAAGAATTACCAAACAGACTGCATTGCCTACTGAAGCTGTATTTTAGTCCCATGTTTCTTTCCTGTAAGTTTGAGAACAGTAAGTGACATGGTTTTTCTTAAATGGTCATCAAGGGAGCAGTGCCCAAAATAGTTTTTTTTTTTTCAAATTTTGATGCAATATTTCATAATGTTTAACAGCATAATGACCATCAATTTTAATAATAAATTATTAGTATTATGGATATTCAGAAAATGTGACTAGCAAAGGTCTTCAGGCCCATGGAACTTCAAAGTCACAACTTGAAAATGCCAAAATGTAAACAAGACAGCACTGTTCTGAAATGTTTTTTTTTTTTTTTCCAAATTTAACAATTTTTAACATAAAACAAAATTAACAGATTACTGCCATTTTTATATGATCAACTAAGAAAATTGATGAGATGGGAAAAATATCAATAGAGCAGNATCCTGTATATGCTTTGGTCTTATACAGAACTAATTTTTAAGTTGCTAAAAATTAAGTATACTTCATGGCCAAATGTTGCACCTGTCCTCCTGTGTGTGCTTGGTTCTCACACAGGAGTAACATTGGTACACTGAGAGAAACATGCTTTGTGAACAAGTTTAAAGGTCTGATTTAGGGGGCATTTCCATAGACATCATTGGTCTACATAGATCAATACAGCTCTGTGGGGACTTTTGCTGAGTGCAATCAGCTTAACCAAATGACAAGCCTCCTCCTGGCATTGAATAGAATAGGAAAAAGCTGGGCCCAGTTTCATTAACACCATCCATTGGATAAAATTGTTGTCCTCTGGACAGTGATCCTGAGAAAAGCAGCATTTTTAACCACTAGAGACAAAAGTATGTATCTAGTGTTTAGTAAACTGGGCCCTGATGATTATACAAGTCCGATGGAAACAAGAGGAGTGTCACTGCACTCAGCAGGTGTCCCTGCAGAGTTGGATCTATCTACTTGGACTGATAGTGTCTGTGGGAATTAACCCTTAGGATACACATCAACATCAGCAATATTTTTCTGCATAGATAAATTGGTCTCCTTCTGTGAAACAACCTGTATCATTTGAAATCAAAATCATTCTATAAAAAAGGGTAAATATAGCCAAAGATCCCAATATATTCAACATTTTCTTGTTATTTTCTAACAGGCAATATCATTTTCCAGTAGCACTGCCAAGGCCAGAACACCTGATAAAATCATGTCCATCTTCAGTTCAATAATCAGCCTAGCCCTTAACCTTATAGCCACATACACAGTTTTCAATGGTATCTTTTTCAGGGCATCAAGTTTAAACAAACTTAGTTTGTCAGCAGCTCTATAAGAAAATAACCTGCAGCCTGTTGTAAATAACAAAAAAAAAAAAAAAATGTATAAATTTTGTGTAACATTTGCAAAACTTCTTTCCCAGTGTTAATTCTTAGTTATTCACAAAGCATGGATCAGATTCAGTATACAGTAACTTCAGATTTTATTAGACCCCTTACTCTTGCTGATGCCTTCCATTAGTGGCTGAAAAAAAAAAGAAAAAATATTTAAGAAATCAACAAAAATAATCACCAGAAAAGCAACTAGAGGATAAGACAGGTGATACCAACTCCAGGTATTGTACCACCAGCTGGAGCAAGCCCATTCGCAGAAAAAAAGGGACACCACCTACAGTGTTGTGCTTGACAAGCTCTACAAAATGCAGTTAAGAAAACTTCTCAATATTTTTGTTAAAATAATCATTTAAAACAAAATCATGGGGAAAAGTAAAAGTTTAAATCCAATTTTGTGAAGTGCGGGTCATGGCAAAAAGTAAGTAAAGGTCAAATACATGATCACATTTAGATTACCAGTATATGACTTCCTATTCAAGTTCAGTAGTAACTCTGAGCATATCTCTGCTAGTTTTGGAGATACAATGGATAGAAAAGTTGCTAAGTTCAGTATTCATTACGCAAACAAAAAAAGAAAACAGACACACAATACAAAGTTAAAAGAATGTTCTAAGTGGTCACAATAATACCTTCTGTATTTACTACCGCATCCAATGTACCATCTCCCTGCTGGAGCCTAGCAGAGTCTTGACCCTGCTGCAGGGAAACTGACTCTTCTGGATCCTCGTCCTAGAATGAAAATAAAATATCAGTTCACATATTGTGACACTAACATCCACTTTGGAAAAAAATGTTACTATTCAGAAACATGTCTAAGGTGCTGAAATATGGAAGAGAATTCCAAGGATTTGCAAGGAATGAGAATTCAAAGGAGTGTCCTTATTGTCTGTGTTCGATATAGGAATCAGTACCTCATAACTGAGCATCTACTCATATCCGTCTGATGAAGGCCTATGTCCAAGTTGGGCATAAGCTACGTCTATGAAAATATTTTAGCTTGTGTTTTATAATCATCATATTAGTACCTCAAAAATAGGAAAAAATTTGACAATTTGGAGAAGCACCTGTCACCAAATTAATCAGTATTCCACACAAAACATTGCTAACTGCAAAAAGTCTCAGTTAAAAACTAGAGGATCAGTGAGGCAATATCGCCTCTGGATATTGGACCACCAGAAGGAGTAAATGCATTCGTATGGAAAACCAAAAAAAAGGGACACTACCACCACCAATGCTGTGCTTGACAAGCTCTACAAAAAGTAGTAAACAAGTTCTCAATATTTTCATTGAAAATTACAATTTAAAACAAAATCATGGGAAAAAAAGTTTAAATCCAAATTTAAATTCAAATTTGTGAAGTGCAGTTTATGGCAAAATGTAGGTAAAAGGTCAAATTCAAGGTCACAGTTAGATTGCCAGTATATTACTGCCTATTGAAGTTCAATAATAACTATGGGTGTATCTCTGCTAATTTTGGAGTTAGTTCACATCTTATTTTCACCACTGAATATTGTGACATTGTACTCTGAGAAAAAACACTCAAAACAAACACTCAATCAAGCTGATTTTCCAACTCAACCAGTATTATAGTAAGATTAATCATTCCTGTGAGTTTCAAGATAGTAGGTTGATCGGTTTTCCTTGAATGTGTTATCAGTGTTGCATATATGCTGAAAAAAGGGAAAAAAACTGCATAACTTTTCTAAGAATGGTCCCATTTTCCAACTTGACCTGTATTTCAGTAAGACTGATCACTCCTGTGAGATTCAAGACAATAGACCTATCAGTTTTCCTAGAAATGTGTTATCAGCGTTGCACATATAATAAAACAAGGCAGCAAAGCTGTCAAATGTACAGACAAAAAACAGGAAATAACTATGCACAAAATAGGCTACTGTTAATTCTGATGCAAAAGTACATTATGTTAAACTGCAAATTCAACATCAAATTTTAATTATGCTCAACAGGTAATACCAATGTAAGTAAAATGTGTAACAAGTTCACACTCTGAAAATGTATAACTTCCAGAAAAAGAAGCCAATTAGACTGCTTTTCCAACTCAGGCTGCATTTTAGTCCTGTATTTCTTTTTTGAAAGTTTGGCAATCATAAGTAACAGGGTTTTCCCATAATGGTCATCATGGCAGCAGCACCAAAATTATGTTTTCTTCTATTTTGATGAAATATTACTTAATGCTTAACAGCATAATGACCATCAATTTTTAATAATAAAATAAACATATCGTGGATTTTCAGAAAATGTGACTAGCATGGGTCTTCAAGCCCGTAGAGGTTCTAAGTCACACCTTGAAAATGCCAATAAGTGAAAAATTAAATTTTCACAAAGAACTGTTTAATTGCCAGAAAAATTTACCAAACAGACTACATTGCCTACTGGAGCTGTATTTTAGTCCCATGTTTCTTTCCTGTAAGTTTGAGAACAGTAAGTGACATGATTTTCCTTAAATGGTCATTTTTGGAGCAGTGTCCAAAATAGGGGTTTCTTCAAATTTTTATGCAATATTACATAATGTTTAACAGCATAATGACCATCAATTTTTAATAATAAAATATTAGTATCATGGATATTCAGAAAATGTGACTAGGAAAGGTCTTCAGGCCCATGGAACTTGAAAGTCGCATCTTGAAAATGCCAAAATGTAAACAAGACAGCACTTTTCTGAAATGGTTTTTTTCCATTTTTAACACTTTTTTAACATAAAATAAACAGTTTACTGCCATTTTTATATGACCAACTAAGAAAATTGATGAGATGGGAAAAATATCAATAGAACAGTGTTAAATGTCCAATTTCCTCCATTCTGAGATTCTGAACATAGTGGATGATTGAATCTGACAAACTGCAATGATATGTGTTTATTTCTAATGTTGGCACTTTATTACACAATACACGATAACAAGTTTACCATCATTTTTACATAATCAACTAACAATGTTGTAAAGATGCAGGACATGTTAAACAAACACTTTTACGTATCTTATTAGTTAAATAATGAGACTATTAACATGCCTAAGAATTGAATCCGAGGAAATGTGAAAAAAAAAGCATAACTTCTAGAATAATAGCCCGATTATGCTGATTATTATGATTATGACAATTGGCCTATCTGTTTTTCTTATATTGTGTTATCAGTGTTGCATATATGCTAAAAAAAATGAAAAAACAGCATAACTTCCATAAAAGTGGCCCGATCATACTGATTTTCAAACTTGACCTGCATATTATGAATAATCATCAGTTTTATAAGTTTCAAGCCAAAAAGTAAAGAAGTTTTTCATTTATCGTGTTATCAGGGTTGCATATATGCTGGAAAAAAGTTTAAAAAAAACAGCATAACTTCCATAAAAATGGCCCGATCGCGCTGATTTTTCGAACTTGACCTGCATATGATGAATAATTATCAGTTCTGTAAGTTTCAAGCCAAAGGGTTAAACAGTTTTTCACTTATCGTGTTATCGGTGTTGGAAAATTACTGCAAAAAGTGAAAAAACAGCATAACTTCCCTAAAAATGGCCTGATCATGCTGATTTTCGAACTTGCCCTGCGTATTATGAAGATTCACCAGTTCTGTAAGTTTCAAGCCAAAAGGTAACATGGTTTCCCACTTATCGTGTTATCGGTGCTGCATATATGCTGAAAAAAAATGAAAAAACAGCATAAATTTCCTAAAAGTGACCCGATTATGCTGATTTTCGAACTTGACCTGCATTTTATAAATATTCATCAGTTCTGTAAGTTTCAAACCAAAAGAAAAAACAGTTTTCCACTTATCGTGTTATCAGTAAAAGTGCACGGCGACGGCGACGACGGCAACGACAGCGACGACGGCAACGGCGACGACAGACGCAGATGACAGCTATATGTACAGACACATCTGTGTCTGTACATAAAAAAGATAAAGATAGAACCAGAAAAGCACTCTGAGACCTCTGCCAAAGCAGCAGTCTCCACCCAATGCCGTTTCACCCCTAAATTTTCATTCTATAATGATTTAGTTTTTTGATTTTTTGGCCCACTTCTGACTTTTTGAGTTATGTTGATGACAAACAGACAGACAAACAAACAGGGGTGAAAACATAACCTCCTTGACAGTGGTAAAAACAGCATAACCTTTGAAAAAATGGCCTCATCAAGCTGATTTTCACACTTGATCTGTATTTTATGAATATTCATCAGTTCCATAAAGTTGAAGACAAAAGGTAAAACATTTTTCCACTTATTGTGCTATCATTCAAGGTGCATGGCAAGGGCCACAATGGCAACATTGACAATGGCAATGACAGACACAGGTGACAGCTATATATGTACAGACATATGTCTGTACATAAAAATGTGATGGCCCATTCTCTTGCATTTTGACAAATATTTAACATGCGAGTCCACCTTTTTTACAAATATGAAATAACTTACACTGTCATTTAACCGTGCTTTTCCACCCAATGTTTTTAATGCCATCATCTCCAGAGTGTTTAGGTCTTTACCCAGCGAAGGGGGGGAGCCATTAGCATCCGAAGAGGATATAGTGTCAGTTGAAGTCGCAGAATCATCCAGTTTTTGTCTCCTGCAGAGACTNCTTATCGTGTTATCGGTAAAAGTGCACGACGGCGACGACGGCGCCGACAGACGCAGAAGATGGCTATATGTACAGACACATCTGTGTCTGTACATAAAAAAGATAAAGATAGAACCAGAAAAGCACTCTGAGACCTCTGCCAAGGCAGCAAAGTCTCCACCCAATGCCGTTTCACCCCTAAATTTTCATTCTATAACGATTTAGCTTTTTGATTTTTTGGCCCACTTCTGACTTTTTGAGTTATGTTGATGACAAACAGACAGACAAACAAACAGGGGTGAAAACATAACCTCCTTGGCAGTGGTAAAAACAGCATAACCTTTGAAAAAATGGCCTCATCAAGCCGATTTTCACACTTGATCTGTATTTTATGAATATTCATCAGTTCCACAAAGTTGAAGACAAAAGGTAAAACATTTTTCCACTTATTATGCTATCATTCAAGGTGCATGGCAACGGCCACAATGGCAACATTGACAACGGCAATGACAGACACAGGTGACAGCTATATATGTCTGTACATAAAAATGTGATGGCCCATTCTCTTGCATTTTGACAAATAGTTAACATGCGAGTCGACCTTTTTTACAAATATGAAATAACTTACACTGTCATTTAACTGTGCTTTTCCACCCAATGTTCTTAATGCCATCATCTCAAGAGTGTTTAGGTCATTACCCAGCGAAGGGGGGGAGCCATTAGCATCCGAAGAGGATGTAGTGTCAGTTAAAGTCGCAGGATCATCCAGCTTTTGCCTCTTGCAGAGACGTGACGCCATACGCATCAGCTGTGCAAAAATAGTAAGAAAAAATCAATTCCCAATGTGTCATTGCACTTTTTCATTTCATACAAAATAACTGAAAGTATGATTATGTTGCTTGTTAATTAGCCATGAGATATTTTCTGACAGTATTCTAAATTTTAATTAAAACTTTGTTGATCCATCCTCCATTTTGATGGTCTTCCAACAGAAAAAAAAGATCAATGAAAACTTTAAAATCTGACCGTCTTCCCGAAGATCCAGAAGACATTCTCAATCCACCCATGTATAAAATTACACTTTCAAGAGTTCATATTCACATAATGAAAATCCCAATGTTTGAACAAGAGATAACTGCACTGAACAGAGTTCATTTCCATTTTTGACACTCAATTATACAATACACGACAACAGGTTTACCATCATTTTTATGTAATCGACCAGTGAAAAAGAGATTAAAGGGATAATAACTCTTCGTTTCGGCCAAAAAAAGAATTTTCCTGGAGTAAACAACAATTTTCCTATACTAACCAATGGTTAATGAATCCATTTTTACATTCAAAGTTAGTCCCTGCTTTTTTCTATAAAGTTTGGTTTTTGGTTAAAATCTCTTAAGAGATTTTAACAGAGTATAGACATCAATGGAGGTCATATGGTCTAAAAACAAGCTCAGATATCAGAATAATAGCTATAACTGCCGTTTTCTTGTAAAACAGAATATATAATATTTCTGTGAGTTATTCACAATGTTTTTATTGTGAAATATAGATCTCATATGAATAGTTATGGTAATTCTCCGATCTATACGAACGCCACGATAATTACAAACAAAACGCTTTTTCTCTGAACCTGAATTTTCTTCCTCCGTTCTGTATGAACGATCGCTGGACTCACCTTGGGCACAATTTTAATTTTCCGAACGCAAGGAAGTGTGCCTAATTGAAACTCACCCCATGATTCATCAAATTGAGTTTTCAGACCACCGTTCCGAACAAAGGAACTGCCACTTGACAGGAGAGATTGTTATCACTTATTAGTGCTGTTTTTGAAAGAGACGATTGGAGGACTCAACCTGCCCGCCGGCAGCTGCAGGCCAATTTTAAAACCACCACCATTGTTATTAAAAAATTATGAAAGCATTGGTACACAAATTACTTACTGTTTATTATCATTTCTTAACTTGCTGAGCACTATATTCAACTTTATCGCCGAGAGCTACATCAATGATCTATATGTGCCATCACATGCTCCTACGCCAGACGAATGTCTTGCGCAAGGCATTCTGGGATTACTTAAATGTGCTTGATAAAAGTAAGGAATTAGAAATTACAGAGAAAATGGATAAAGGCTCGTGTTACAAAGACTTGCTTTATGATATTCCAGAGTTGAAACATACACTTAATTTCTGCCAACTATTTGATAATCGCTTATGAATAACTAAATGTTTACATGGGGCGTAACCAGACCTTTTAAAATTCACAGGTACAGCCAAATGTGGACTTACGCAACAGATGAAGGGCAGCCTTATTTGTACTACTAATAAAATCATCAGTAAAAGTTTAAAATATTCCCGATTTAATAAGATTTCAGTATATTTATTTCACCCAGAACAGTATATTTATTTAACAAGGAGAAACTTTTAACTTTAAACTTTTAAGAAATTTAGACACTATAAGCACTGCTGATTATGCCTGCTTGTGACGAGCTGAATTCTGAATAACGGTGCAGTACTGTTGTTCGACGTGAAATACTGATCATAAAATGGAAGATAAATTTTTCTTGGTGGTGAAGAAACAGTGATTNCTTATCGTGTTATCGGTAAAAGTGCACGACGGCGACGACGGCGCCGACAGACGCAGATGATGGCTATATGTACAGACACATCTGTGTCTGTACATAAAAATTATGAAAGCATTGGTACACAAATTACTTACTGTTTATTATCATTTCTTAACTTGCTGAGCACTATATTCAACTTTAACGCCGAGAGCTACATCAATGATCTATATGTGCCATCACATGCTCCTACGCCAGACGAATGTCTTGCGCAAGGCATTCTGGGATTACTTAAATGTGCTTGATAAAAGTAAGGAATTAGAAATTACAGAGAAAATGGATAAAGGCTCGTGTTACAAAGACTTGCTTTATGATATTCCAGAGTTGAAACATACACTTAATTTCTGCCAACTATTTGATAATCGCTTATGAATAACTAAATGTTTACATGGGGCGTAACCAGACCTTTTAAAATTCTCAGGTACAGTTAAATGTGGACTTACGCAACAGATGAAGGGCAGCCTTATTTGTACTACTAATAAAATCATCAGTAAAAGTTTAAAATATTCCCGTGATTTAATAAGATTTCAGTATATTTATTTCACCCAGAACAGTATATTTATTTAACAAGGAGAAACTTTTAACTTTAAACTTTTAAGAAATTTAGACACTATAAGCACTGCTGATTATGCCTGCTTGTGACGAGCTGAATTCTGAATAACGGTGCAGTACTGTTGTTCGACGTGAAATACTGATCATAAAATGGAAGATAAATTTTTCTTGGTGGTGAAGAAACAGTGATAATTTATTGGAAAGATAGCTATCATTCCTCTTACATGGGGGTGCAGGTCTCCCAAAATCAACCAATTATTACCCTAGGTTCTAGATTCCGGTATTGCCAGCTCGATCTTGATTTCATATATAACCCATATAAACAATACCGGCTCTAGTGACCAGCGGCCATGTTACACTTCCATCAATCAAATAGAACTGCTCCGCAGTGAATCTGCAGTTGAATGTCATCAGACCAAAAAGAAACGTAAAACAGATTTAATTCTGCTTTATTTAATTTTATTTGCTGTATTTAAGATGTAAAGTGAAGAAATAAATAATATTCTTCGAACAGAAAAGATATATCCAATGTTTTTGTATTTTTTGCTTATCAAAGAACATTTAGTCCTGAGATGTACACATGCGCAATACACGTGCTTGCCGTGTGCAAAATTTGACAGCTACACTGTATGCCCGATACCACTATAAGGGCTGCGCAATGGCTACACCAAAATCAGTTTTTAAAGCGGAATGTTGCTTCTATTGTGGCACTGACCTTCGACTGCAAGACATTTTCAATTCAAACTTCGTCAGGCACTTTGCTTCTTGTCTCATCTGCACGAGATAACTTCAGCGTGAGGCGGGAAAGGCAGCTCCAGGCGGCCAAACCTGTGACGTACGAGACTTATGACTTCCAAATATGGATCCAGGCGGACACAGCTGTGAGGTGTGACTTCCAAATATGGAAGCGCCCCAGGCAAAATTTTGAAGAAGAACGCCCTCAGATTGTCACTGTTCGTCAGAGCTAGTAAAAGCGACTCCATCACAAGGTATATATTTAACAAGCTAGCTTTTACGTTGCTCTGACACTCAGGGTACCAATAATAAGACAAGATAGAGCTCTGATATATCTTATATTAATTATTTGTTTGTGAAAATTGTCACCATGTTAGTTCTTTGAAGCTTTGCAGGAAAATTCTTCCTTTGTTTCTCTTGGTCCTTATTCAGCTCGCTGTCCAGATTTTATCTAAAGCCCGCCGCACACAGAACAATTTTTCGCCGGCCGACAAAAGTCGGTCGATCGGTCGTCGTGGATGAGATCAGCGCACACACACGACAAGCTGGTGTGGTGAAAGACGTTATTATCTCTTCCGTGAGGTGGGGCGTTGTTTAATTTAATCAGGAAAAGTTTTTGTAGGCCTATTTAGGCCACACTTTTTTATTTTTATGGATGACATCCTCTGGGTACCCCAAAATCGGTGCGAGAGGGCGAAAAAAAAAAAAACAGTCCAAAAAAAAAAAAAATTGCTTAAGTAAAGGAATGCTGTCAGTACACAGCTGGAAACACAAATTTAACCACAGAAACACGTATCAAACTAACAATATGTCTTTATCCATGCTCTCAAAATATTAAAGCATTGTGAATACTTCGTAGAAATGTAAAAAAAAAAGGCATGAATTGATATACTTCATATTACCAAATCTATTTAAGGTTATTTCATGCATTCATTTGGTATAGCAATCAATAAAACAAATATCAATCAAACAGTGCGTCTTTATTTGTATTCTCAGAATATTAAAACATTTTGAATACTTCACAGCAATGTTTAAAAAATGATGCAAAGATGTGCTTAATACTACCAAATCTATTAAAGGTCATTTCAGACGATGCCATTTTGTCAACTTCAACTCACACAAAGCAGCTAAACTGTCAGGTGGCCTGTCCGACCTTCAGCCCACCAAATACCTCGACGCCCTTGTCGACCCTTTTTTCGCTACAGAAAACCTGGTATTAATGTGCTGCTTTATACAGAATGTCACAGAAATGTTTCGGCCGCCTCCAGCCTTTCGCACAATTGTAAAAAGGTGATATCTCCATGCCCAATATCAATGGCGTACCAATCCAAAACGATGGCGCCCGTTCTCTTGACGACTTTTATTGTTGTGTAATTTGAAAGTAATCCTAGAGATGAATTTGACAGCAACGTGGCCGCATTTCCACGTGGCGAAAATACGCATGCGCAGAAAGCTCATTTCCTTGCAAATTCAATAACAACGTTTGCGACAACCGACTTCGTTGGGGGCTGGGGGGCTTTTTTTTTTTTTTTTTTTTTTTGGAGAACGGGCGAAAATCCGTGCGCGCGCAGGATGTCATCCATAAAATTAAAAAAGTGTGGCCTTATATTTTATATCTGATATTGTAATGATAAGAGTTAAAATTAAATGTACGAGTATAACAAGATTACTTTAATTAATTTAATTGAAAAATGAGCAAATTGAAATGCCTAAACTTTCTAAATCAACGCAATACTCATAGACCATAAAAATGCAGCCTATAGTTTGTCAGTTTAGACAGATTTAGTTGCCTCGATGCAGCGTTACGTCGTTAAATGGTTTATGAAGCTGAAAATTTAAAAAAAACTAATACTAATAGGAAATTATAGGGCCTTCCATCATACTGAATTGAATTGAATTGAATAGCTAGCGAGAGTGCTTTCGATACACTCAAGACAAAGGCTACCTAAGGGTTGAAGGGCACTTAACCCGCCAATTAATTAAGAATTTATGAAGTTTCAGCTAAATGGACGATTAAGATAGAACTCCTGCAGGTAACTAGCATTGTTTGCCTCAATCCTGTGAAAGCAAACAAGATGGGGTGTCAGAACAATGATGCATAACATGTTTTACAGAGGATTTGTGCATACAGGTGACATAAACTAACATCGTAGGGGATTTTCGATTATAATATAAAATGCACTAAATTTATAGATAAAACTAGAGGATCAGAGAGGCGATACCGCCTCCGAATATTGTACCACCAGCTGGAGCAAGCGCATTCGTATAGACCCCCACATACACAAAATAAGGAACACAGNGACCATGGAACTTCAAAGTCACATCTTGAAAATGCCAAA